CCCATCCTTTCATACACTGCTCCTGAATGAATATGCCCCAAAACGAGGCCATGTCCGAACCCAACCGCATGTCACTCACCCCTTTTTGCCCCAGAAACCTCGAAGGAGGGCCGCGGCATCTTTGTTGGTGGACTGCCACCCTCGTAGGGAAGCCCGGTTGGCCGAGTGGCTGCCCCCTGCGACAAGACTATTGGAACATCACGTTTTTTGTTTAGAACATGGATGAACATGGGCAGATTTCTCACAGAATCGTAGAAACAGCAACTCCCAGCACTACTTTGTCTTGGGGGTTGCTTCCTTTGTCTTCAACTGGTTTGAAGGTCGTGGTGTTTCTTGACCCTGCTTTCGGTGCGAAGCACGCTTCGCATGAAGCCAGCTCGTCTTGTCGATGTGGTATGATGGATTTAAGACGCGGTTGATACTTTGTTCAGACTCACCTGACATGTCTGTGGAAAACGTGTCCCGCGTTGGGATTCCATCTCATTTACAAAAAACGTGTCCCATCATTTTGCAGATTCGGAGCTGATCCATATGTTTGTCGAATTGCGATCTTGCCACGTACGTGACACAGATGTTCAAGTAATAAAAGTATCAGAACCAGGAGTCACGTTCGACGGGGTGGTGTGGTGCTTAGTCCTATCCAGGGGCCGTGGATGTGGCTCTTGGGCACCCCGAACCGAACCACCATGGATCGCACCCCGTCTTGTTACTGCTGGGAGTGATCGTTGATACCACCGCGTTGCCTATCGTCGGTCCCTGAAGAGGAGCTCGCGGTGTCCGTTCTACGTAGGAGTTCTACATAGTTCTACGTAGGAATAGAGACCATCGATGGATCAGATCCTGCTGTAACTGCCTTGCTGGGGGGTTATTATACAACCCCATGGTGTTAGTAGGAAAAAACAATGAAGCTTGGTGGTTTTCATGTTTTGCCAATTTAAGGATCATCCCCTTGTCCGAAGAGGGATGGAACCGAGCATGAGACAGAGGTGGAAGATCCAAAAGTGCATGGAGGGCCCAGGTTTTCCAGAAAGACCCCTAAATATACAAAAATGAAATGACCAAGCTTCATTGTTTTTCCCGCCAGCACCATGGGGTTGTATAATAACCCCCCAGCAGGGCAGTTTAGCAGGAGATCAGGAGCAGTTCCCAAAGTATCCGCCCTCTTTTTACAACTCCTATTGGTTTTTCATTGCATCATTGGGACATCCAACCCCAGTCATGGATGACCACCCAAAAGAGTGATGAACTGCAGTCCACCGAGTTGAGACCCCAAATCCGCACCGATCACCGCGGAGACGAGAAAAAGACGTCAACATAAACCTTCCCCCATATCCATTTCCATTTCCATGTGCGCCACAGTACCCTCCTGTAAAGGGTTCGTCACCTTGCAGTGCCTATTACCCCCCCTCAAAAAAAGAAACAACAAACCGGACCGCCGCCTCTTCACGCCGCCAAAAAGGGTGGATGACCGAGAGCTGCGCAAACACTTCGAGTCCTACGGTGAGGTTCAGGCGACGCCGTCTGACGGATGGAGGGACCCGTCTGCGGTGCCGATGGACGGAGGCTGAAAGACGCAGACGCAGCAGGCCACCGAGGGTGTGTCAACCAAGATGAGCTTTGGCAAAGATATGTTGGAGTTTTAAACTTGCTCGCTGGAGAACTATGGGTCCCCAGACTTCTCAGAGATGCGATCACTAAGTCTGGATGGTCTTGATCCAGGGCCTTAAGCCTTAAACTCAATTCATGAAGTGTGGTATTGGTGGTACTGGTTGCAAGGCGTGGGCGGAGTCCTCAGCCCTTGGTCTCCGCTTCGCTTCGAGGTCTGTCGAGTTGGACATGGAGGGGTCAAGGTCACCATCATGGACCCACGGGTCATGCTCGAATAAGAAACAGGTGGAAACATGGTGATGACATGTTGTTTTGAGTCCTTTTTTGGGAGTTGTTGTTGCTGCTGCTGGTGTTTTTTCTTGTTTTTTTGTTGATTGGCTGGCTACTCCAGGATGCCACAGTGGTGATGAACCAGAGAACTGGCAAGTCCAAGGCGCAAAGTGTTCGCGGCGATGAACGTCGACAAGGACACCAAAATGGGCTCCCACCACAAGCATCGAGTTTATAGACCGGCAATCCTTTGACATTGGCTTGGCGCACAATTGCCAGCTTCGAATTGGTGTTGCTTAAGGGGTTGTGGTAAATCTGTCAAGGATGGTTCATGCATTCTTCCTATCCACTGGGGTTACTTCTTTTGCAGAGTTCAGGGCCGGTAAGTTGATAGGGGAGTACGTAGGAATCCCTATGTCAGGTGGATGTTTGGCTGTGATGGTTATTGATGATGCTTAATTGAGGGTTGGTTGTGACGTCACAACCCAAGTTCTTGCGGAATCGTGGTCAGTGGGTCGGATCAGGAGCTTTGCATGTAGCACCTTTCATATGAAGTAGACTGTCCACGGTATGCTCAAGTCGGACATGGTCAGGCATGTCAGCGTCCATCCAAAAACGCACTCTGTACGGTCCTTCTTGTCAGCCACTCCTTCCCGAAAGGGAGCCCGATTTAGGGAGATTGGTTCCCCACCTGCCAGGTGAGGGTTGTTAGATTTTATCACAGTTGTTCTTCCTCCGCCTCCGCCTCCGCCGCCTCCTCGTCCTCCTCCTTCCTCCTTCCTCCTTGCTTCCTTCCTCGCCAATCTGCTTCGCCGATCTTGTCTGGCCAGCTCCGGATCGCAGTGTGCACCCCTGGACCTCAACCGCAAGGATCCGATCGCAGTGTGCAGCCCTGGACCTCAACCGCAAGGATCCGATCGCAGTGTGCACGCCTGGACCTCAACCGCAAGGATCCGATCGCAGTGTGCACCGCTGGACCTCAACCAGATAGTTTGCCAGATAGAATGCTGCAAGAAGATATGCCAGATAGTATGCCAAATAGTGTGTCAGATAGATTGCTAGATACATTGCCAGATAGAATGCCAGACAATATGCCAGATAGAATGCCAGATAAAGTGCCAGATAGAATGCCAGAAGATATGCCAGATAGAATGACAGATAGTATGCCAGACAAAATGCCAGATAGTATGCCAGACAGTATGCCAGATAGTATGTCAGATAGATTGCCAGATAGAATGGCAGATTGAATGGCAGATAGTATGCTTCAAACACACAACCACAAACACAACCACAAGCTCACAACCACAAACACAACCACAAACACACAAATACAAACACATAACCACAAGCACACAGCCACAAACACAACCACAAACACAACAACAAACACAACCACAAACATAACAACAAACACACACCCACAAAGACACAACAATCGACACACAACCACAGACACACAACCACAAACACTCAACCACAAACACACAACCACAACAACAAAACCACAAAGACACAACCACAAACACACAACCACAAACACAACCACAAACATAACAACAAACGCACACCCACAATCACACAACAATAGACACACAACCACAAACACAACCACAAACACACAACCACAAACACACAACCACAACAACACAACCACAAAGACACAACCACACACACACACAACCACAAACACACAACCGCAAACACACAACCACAGACACAACCAGAAGCACACAATCACAAATACACAATCACAAGCACAACCACAACACACAACCACAAACACAATCACAAACACAACCACAGCACACAACCACAAACACAACCACACACACAACCACAAACATAACAACAAACACACAACCACAAAGACACAACAATAAACACAACCACAAACACAACCACAAACACACAACTACAAACACAACCACACACACATCCACAAACACACAACCACAAACACAACCACAAAGACACAACCACTAACCCGCAACCACAACAACACGACCACAAAGACACAACCACAAACATACAGCCACAAGCACAACCGCAAACACATCCACAAACACACAATCACAAACACACAGCCACAAACACACAATCACAAACACAACCACAACCACAACACACAACCGCAGCACACAACCCGAGGACCCACAAGCAAAATCGAGAACTACAATACTCACGACCATGGCAACATGCTCCTCACTATGGCATCAAGTTAAATGATTGAAATGTCATGGTGGGGATCACTCGAAGTAAAGTAATTGGTTTTTAGATGCAAAAGGCTCATTCTCACGGCGAACTCCATGGAACTCGTCAATCGCTTCACTCTCGTCCAGCTTCACGTGAATCATTCTACCAGCTCGCTTCACGTCCATTCGCGAATGGCTTGGCTACCTCATCGGGGCTACCTGAGTTCTCCTGTTGCTTCAAAACAACAACACTTGAGCTACAGGAGAACTTAGGTAGCATGAGGTGGATTGCCTTCTTGGTGGATTGTAACCAGGACTTGGTGGACTGCCTTCTTTTCCGAATCTTCCGAATCCCCATGATCACCCCAGTCGCCCGGGAAGCCAGTCGTATGCGGCCAAGCTCTCGCCCTGGTTCACGGGGCTGCAGGCTTCTCATATGGGCAAAAAAGGTTGCCAAGAGGGTTTGGACTAGTGTAGAGCCCACCTCTGAAATCAACCTGTAGACCTTGACAGATTTGAATGACGAGTTGCTTTACAAAGTCCCAGCAAAGCAGTACTGGTCCGGAGTCCAAGGTCCTCCGCTTTTTTACTCCGCTGCGTGCAGCTTCGAAATGGTTGGGTGAAGCACCTCAACAGCTATTGAGTTCGATGTGTACCAAACAATACCCCACCGTCACCGCTGGGTTCTCGTGGATTTTGATGGACATATAATCATCACATAAGAAAATGTGAGCAAATGATTGAGCTCAAACTTAAAACATCTTGCATCCACAGATGACTCTCGTTCTACTCCCACACTTCAATCAGCTGATGAATTGTGGACGCTACTAGGGGCTCCTGGCATCGCTACTAGGAGCAAGGACGCTACTAGGGGCTCCTGGCCTTACTACTAGGAGCAAAGGACGCTACTAGGAGCCTTTGAACCAGACCACAAAAGGTTGTCGTTTGCACCCGCATTCAACGCACATGGGCGCCACCACCAGTGCTGCGCTCCCCGACACTGCCGGCCGGAGTGGACGCGGGCGTGCATAGCGGGCGTTCATGGCAGAGGACAGCGTGCGGAGCGGCTGCGCAGGGCGGAGGAGCAGCTTGGAGTTGTATGGCAAGCAATTTGAATGTTTTTGTGTTCATGGTGAACAACTTGGAGGAGAAAGATCTTGGGTAAAGGAGCGCGCGTCATAGGGAAGGTTCACCACTGTCCACCAGGATTGACAGTTTAGACCTTTGAATGTTGGGAAGCGGAACGAGTTGATCCACGCACGGGGGACTTGCCTGTGGGTCCTTTTCCATCTGGGTTTTGCTGTGTTTGGCTCCTGTAGTTTCTTCAGCGAAGGTGCTTGATGTCTTGAAAGAGCCAGACTTGACAACCAATTGCTTGTAGGTCGAGGTCTACAAGCCAGTTCCAGGACTGTTTGGGCCCTCCGAAAGCCATCAATCTCAAAAACCAGCTTCAGAGCGGTACTTGATAGGAAGCGGAAGTAATAGCTCAATAGTTTGCTTGAGAAATGAACCAACAGGGGATGCGGGCTTACTACAGAATACTAAGAGGATCATTCGGGGACCGATCTTCATAACCGAAACTGTCGCACCACAAATTCCCCAGAAAGTGCGGAACTACAAGATGGTCTTGGAATGTGGCTTCCATGGTGCTGTCCATGGACTTTTCGAGCTGTGCATGGGCTTGAAGATACGAATGGAATACAAAACGCATGTTTTTCCATGGATTCTTTTCAGGCCTGGAGTGGGCTGGAATGCCGAAAATGGATCACCGAGAACCTGCGTTTAGATACCCTGCAGTTTGGCCCACCCGGACTCCCTTCTCCAGCGACTCCGTTGTTCCGCATGTGCGGACCCTGAGGCTTGTGGCGGAGGCGCGGAATTCCCAGCACCTTTGGACCATCAGCGGCCTCGATGGCACAAGCTTTCAGCTCCCTGCAACCGACGGTTCCGTGGCTTCGACGGCAAAGAGCCCAAAAGCTCCACGATTTCCATCCGCATTTCCTGTACAGATTCTACCTGATTACCAGGTCTCCCCTTGCTTAGCAAGTGTCCCCCAGATATTTCTCAAAATCCTCAAATCCGAAGGGGAAGGCTCCCTGAGGCTATGTCCGATTCCGATACCCTGCAAGGGTGGGCGACACTCGCACTTCTCCAGCCCTACTAGATCAAGCCAAGTACCTGGGATCAAGGTAGCAACAACCATCGGCTTGCCTCACAGATTCTTTCATGGATTTGACTCTTGATTTTATCTCGTTTCAAGCATGGCAGCTCTAGAGCTTGACGACCTCTCCAAGACCATCGCAGAAAGAATCGGTGTGAGAGCTGGTAGAAAGCTTGTTCTTTTTGCAGGTGGCCAAATTTTGGAGGACTCATCCAAGATTTTGCAGCAAGAAGGGTGCAGACGAGAGATCTCGTACGTCGTTCGACAAGTTTGTGCAATGGAGGCAGCGATTGGGTTCCAAAGGGCCCTTGCAGAGGGAACTCGTTCTTGACGCCTAGATGTAACAGGATGCTTACACATATGCGGTCAGACAGCCCGCTGTTGGTTGTCTGGCCTTGCTTGCGAC